CTTTTAACAATAATGCAGAGACTAAGGTATGCCCCAAAGTATCAAATGTGACTGTTCATATTTTAGTATGTATGACTGATTATTGTCAGTCATAAAACTGGGTAGTCGTTTTTTTGAATCCTGCTACCATTTATCCATGTGTGCCGTAGCGAACTCAGTAAAAGTTTATGAGTAAACATTGCCATTGCTGCCTTCAAAATAAACACATTATTGACTTATTTTGAGTGGTTTTGCTACTTTTTCCCATTTATTTTTTCTTCATGAGAAATTGCTTTTATGAACTAATGGCAAAACATATTTTGACAAACGCTACATAAAAGCACAGTTTAATTAACTTATGAATTGCTAGTAGGACATTTATACTATTGAAAAAAAAATTGAAAAAAGAAAAGTAATAACTTTCTTTTCATCGTCTTGCTGATATGTTGTATAGTTACTTTTCATCATGCAACAATTTGTGTAAGTCTGTGAGAATGGACTGATCTGTTTTTCATGTATATTCCCTCAATTTCTATTGTGCCATTATGAAAGCCTGTTATTAAGATTAGTGCTGTGGTTCATTTCCATTTTAGCATTTAGCATCTTTCGTGATGTCAAGGTTTAAAGCTAAGCTGACAATTAAAGAAATGACAGATGCTCTCTATTAACCCCTCTTGCTTCCCATAATAGACAATAATGGAGAGAGACTTCCAAGTTGAAAACTAAAGTGCACTGCTTTAATGAAGCAATAATGATGAAAAAGAAAATAATACAGTATATACAAATATATACAAAACCACTCTTGCATTTCCCCTCAATAATGTTTTCATCACCACTGAGGCTCCAGGGCAAGCCCTGGGAAAGTTCTAGACTGGGCTCCTGGAGTCAGTGGCAAACAGGAGCTGGGTGCAGGAACACACAGATTCAGGAACACAGGGACTGGGATCAAAGGCAGACAAATGGATGGAATCCTCCCAGGATGCTGGACATAGATGAAGAGAGCTTGACCCTTGTGATCCTTCAGATTTATACTGAGTATTCATTATATGGGATGAAATACTTATTTTGGTCAATTTTTGCCAACTATTGTTGCACTCCTCCTCAAAAGAGGGTTGCAGGTGTAACCCTTTTACTCCCTTTTCGTTCCAGCACACAGGAAGTGTAGCAGAACCAAGCAGTGGCCTTGGTTCTGTATAACATTCTCGAGCAGTAATTACAAACTTCAAGGGTTATCAGTTCTAGAAGCAGACAATGACTGAAAAACATTCTTTTAATTTCAGAAAGCGCAGTACCTTACAAAAGATTTAACTGAAAAATAAAATCACTAGGAAAAAAAAAAAAAAAAAGGGTTCTGTCTTGGCTCAAACCAGGACAAGTGAGCAATATATCGATATCACTAATGTAGGCTGTGGTACATGTCTTCATCTGGTGGGAACTGGTCAAAGTGTATATATTTGGGCTTATGTTAACACACCAGAAAAAAAAAAAATAAAATAAAATTACACTTCTAAAAATGCACCATTTTTGCCCTACATAAATATTTGAATGTTCATTCAGTTACGCCACAATTTCATGTTGTTTTGCAGATTGTAACTTGAAAATGAAAGCTCAAATGAATCCACAGAGGACAGTGTGCCTGGTAGAAAGGAATCACATTTTTAAATCTTTGGTAAATCTAGTCCTTTTCTCCTATTTAGACATAAATTACTTCCCATCCAACAAAAAGTATCTAATGAAAAGCAAGAAGTGCAAGCAAATCTTGACTAATTGAATAAAAAAGTCCTTTAGGAAGAGCAATATGCAACATCTATTATCTGAAAAATCTCATATATTTTGCAGTCTACAGAAAGCCTATAGAACATTGCTGTGTATTCATGCTTTCATACTGTGGTCAGCAAAGCAGAACTTAAAGATTGAGCACAATAAACATCTATCATTAAACCAAAATCTCTGTATTATAACGTTTTTCAAAATATTAAATTAATTTAATATACAATTAGACAGAAAGCTGTTTCTGCTTTTAGAATTTTTCAAATAACTTTCCATTCTGTTGTCATTTTAAAAGTTAAAAATGCAGATTTTACTGGAGTTTATTTTATTTTAAAATTGTTTATGGATAACTGAAGGATATAAAAATTGGAAATGGATGAAGAGTTTTCATTGGCATATTTTTTTCCTCATGGTCTCAGACATTTTTCTTGTACACACAGACTGTTGGGGTTTTTTGTTGGTGTTTTTTTTTGTTTGTTTTGGTTTTTTGTGGCTTACATCCCGTCTGGACATTGCATTTGCATTTAATTGTGCATTCCATCTACATACATGCCAGGCATTCCTTTCACATACTTCCAGTGACAAATATGCTCTCATTTCACTTTCCAATAAAAAATGAAGAAATAAAAGAGAAAACATAGGTTCATGGTTCTCCTATGCACTTCTGCCACAATTCGCCTGTCTCCTTTGAAAAACAAGAATGTGAATACACAGATTTTATCCCTCTTTTTCAACAGTACACTGATGTAAATATTCAGAGGATGTGACAGAATGGAATTAATATTCTGAAGAGGTTTAAGTTTGGTTTTGGACAGAAGAAGAATATATTTATTTGTAATGGTTGAAGAGTTCAACAGAAAGAGGTGGAGTGTTTACAGTAAGTGTTTCCTCAAGCTCTCCAACCTAAGTCCTTCCCATGCATTGCAGGCCCCTCTCCAAAAGCTGCAGCTTCCTTCAGGACATGTCCACCTGATCTGGCATGGGGTTCTACTGTGACAGTAGGGAGATTATCCTTTACTTGCTTTGACTAGTCTGACCAGAAGAAGTGGCAGTTTCAGTGCAAAATATCAGGATCTATATGGGTTTGCTTCAGCTTGAGCAGGTTTAAGCTTCTTGTAGCAATTAATGAATAACCTGATGATATTGTGGACACCATAGTCCTCTAATGGAGACCTCAGAAGCTGAAAAATGTGTCTTCAACTTCCCCTATTCTTCTTGAGGAGTGAAATCAATCAAAGGACCAATAGAAATACTTGGTAGCATGAGTATAGTGCCATAGAAAATTAGTAGATACTAGCAATATCTTTTTGTCTATCAATTTCAGCTGCATTGTTTGGGAAGCTTTCATGCATTGATTAGATAAACTGAACTATTAAACTATTAGAATGCAAGTTGGATTACCAATACATATTTTTGTTCGTGTTTATGGTGTATTCTTTTTGCCAGTAACATGATTCTAAGTGCAGGCATTGTGATATTAAAGGAACTTGCCTGCTTAATAATAACAAAATTTTTCATTTGCACATAGAAAATATAAGCCCATGAACAGAACATAAACCTCTAAAATATAAACTGAATAAATTAATATTTTAAGAGATAATTGACAGTCTATATCCAATGCATTACATCAGAACATGATAAACAGTTGCAACAAAAAAAGCTCAACTAGTTATATTTTGTAATATTCTGTAGATTCTCCTCTGCATTGATTTAAGTCAGGACTGTTGCCAATGAGGTGAATGTAATGGGAGTGTTAACTAGGTCAGATTAAACAAGTTATTGAATAATGATTTTTTAAAAAAGACTTATTATTTTTCGGTAGCACTTGTTGAGAATTACCTAGAATATAATTATTTTGAATATTTTGAACATTAGCACAGGGCAGAAACACAATAGAGAATTTACATTCCTTAGGATGTCAAGCACATTAATCTTTCCTATTTATAAATATCATTCCCTTGTTTAATGAAGGAAACACAGCTTCAGTAGAGGATATGCAAAATGTTTTAAAGCCTTGCCTTTAGTTTATGTAATTACTGATGTTCTGGAAGTCAGAAGACGGAAGTTTGAGCTCCTTCTTACTGATGAGGGTAAAGAGGAGAAGTGTCACATCCACAGAATGCTTTAGAATTTAAAACACATATCAATGCATTATTTATTCTCACATTTATTGTTCAGCTATGCTTTAACAAAAAAAATATGTGAGGTCTACTCTGTTATTTGGAATATTTTCATTAATGACTTGGATGAAGGAACAGAACCCTCAGCAAGCTTGCTGATGACACAAAACTAGGAGGAGTGGCTGACAAATCAGAAGGCTGTGCTGCCATTCAGCAAGACCTAGACAGGCTGGAGAGTTGGGCATGGAGAAATGCAATGAAATTCAACAGGAGCAAGTGTAGGACAAGAGGCAATGGGTGCAAACTGGAACATAGGAGGTTCCACGTAAACATCAGGAAAAAACTTCTTTACTGTGAGAGTGACAGAGCACTGGAACAGGCTTCCCAGAGAGGTTGTGGAGTCTTGTTCACTGGAGACAATCAAAACCTGGCTGGACAAAACCTGGCTGGACACGTTCCTGTGTGATGTACTCTAGGTGATTCTGCTCTGGTAAGGCAGTTGGACTAGATGATCTCTCTCTCTTTTTTTTTTTTTTTCTCTGAACAAATGGTATGTGGGGATTACACTTTTGGTTTTGGCATCCTGCTCTGGGAGAAAGATGCTAAAGATAAATTGCCTAGAATTTGACAAAATTATTTCTTATGAGTCAATATCTTTAGATTCCTTAGAGAATAATTTATATTGGATCAACAATCAAATAACTGTTAATTGCATAACACTCTAAAATTTCTAAATTTTGACGCATTCATTTTATGTATCAGCAAAATATTCTCTTAAAAATATACTTTTAGATATTGTTTAAACACATTTTTTGTCTTGTGCTGGTTCGGTTTGGAGTGTTTTTTGGTAGCAGGGGAAGGGGCCCAGGGGTGGGAAGGTCAGAAGCTGAGAAGCACCCCCTGCTCCAGTACCAGCCAAGGAGCCATTAGAGGGACAATAGATGCACCTCTGCGATTAACATACGAAAGAACTGATATAACACCTGAGCAGAGGAGCACTTAAAAACAAAAGAAGAGCTGTGCTTTGGAAACAAAGAGGTGCTGGTGGTTGGTGAGGAAGGAGGGGAAGAAGGTGCCCTAGCATAAGCATTCCGGCAGCCATGGCGAGATGGCAGCTCTCCCCCTGCACTCATGGAAGGACGAGATGGAACATTCACAGGAGGGGTGAACTTGGCCAGTGCACTTGGATTTTGTGACCAGTGGACTCTGATTTGCTGCCAGTGGACTGTGATTATGCAGCTTCGGAAGACCCCAGCACCAGGGGAGTTTGTTCCCGACACAGCCCTTGAGTCTGTGAGAAGCTTACACTGGAGCTGCTTGCTCCAGACCTCGTGGGAAGGACTCATGAAGGAGAGGTTTGTGGAGGACTGTCTCCCATGGGAGGGACTCCATAGGGAAGCAGGGAAGGACTGTAAGGAATCCTTCTTCCTAAGGAGGATGACGCAGCAAGAACCACCAGCCTGTGAACTGACTCTAAACCCCATTCCCTGTTCCCCTGTGCTGCTGGGGGGAAGGAGAGAGAGAAACCGGGAACAAAGTGATTTGGGCCCAGGGAGAAGGGGGGAGGAGTGGGGTAACATCTGCAAGCCCTGCTCTTTGTGTTGTCTGTGTCCTGTGTGTGTTTGATTAGTGTGAAATTAAATTATTATTTTTTTTCCCCAAGTTGAGTCTGTTTTGCCCGAGACCTTAAACGGTGAAGAACCCTCCTTGTCCTTTGGCTCAACCCATGAGCTTTGTCCTCCTCATCCCAGTGTGTGTGAAAGGGGGGGTGTTGAGTGAGCAGCCATGATGCTGTACCTTTGTTTTCATGTTGGGCCGAAACCACAACATGTCTTAAATTACAGAAATTTATACTAACATTAGCTAAATATTATTTTACTGTTCTTATTTTTCATATAACTATAGACAGCTGAGAAACTGAGAATACTGCCTTGTTTCATCTGTTTATGGATTAAAAGCATTAAGATATATGCTATACATACTTTTTTCCTTCCTATGCAACTTCTGTAATCACTGCGTTGCATTCTTGCTATAGCTAGACTGAAATACTGTGTCTTTCATTGATTATCTGGTTTGCAAATTTCAGAAATTAATAGTTTCAGTGTTCTAAGGGAGAAGCAAGACTGTATGCAGTTTCCACTTAAATGAATATTTTTTCTTTAGGGACAGTAAAGCAATTCTGAAGCAGCCTTCTTTCTTATCAGGAACTGATTACCTAACAATGATTTTTTTTCTGAGATTCTCTGGGCACAGCAGTTACACAGCGGCCAATCTAATAATTCAGAAATGGAGAAAAGTCAAATCAATCATATATATTATATTTTAGACTTCACACAGTAAAAGAAAATCCATTTACTTGACAAAATTGAGCCAGCATAAATTCTTTAGCCCTTCATATTGTTGAATTAGAAAACTCCCCCTTGGTCTTGATAAAACTAATTTTGAGACAAACAGTAGCAATTAAAAGGTTACATGACTTATTGCATAACTTTAAAGGTAATAATATACTTATAGAAATTGTTATGTTGATACCAAAAAAAGAAAATTAAAAAGGAATATACTAAGAATTATTTTTATGCATTTTATTAATTCAAAAGAGCTTTAATTTTATCATATTTTTATTCCATTCAATTTATATTTGTCATTTAGAAGTAATTTTTTTGTTCCCACTATAGAGTCTGCCTGGAGAGATGCTACTACATCTCTCCATGTTTATTCTAGAGTCCACATTTATCAGACAAATGTAGAACGATAAAATCACAAATGGTTTGAAAGACACTTTTAAAGGTCATCTAGTTAAACCCCCCCTGCAATGAGTAGAGACAAATTCCACTAGATTAAGTTGCTCAGATCCCTCTGCAACCTACCCTTGAATGATGTCTCCAGGAGTGGGGCAGCTACTGTCTCTCTGGGCAATATGTCCCAGTGTTTCACTACCCTAATCATAAAGGATTTATTCCGTATATCTAGTCTAAATCTACCCTCTTTTAGTTTAAAACCATTACTCTTTGTCCTGTCACTGTGGGCCCTGGTAAAAAGTCTGTCCTCATGTTTCTTATAAACATCCTTTATGTATTGAAAGACTGCAAAAATAATGTCTCCCTGGATCTTTCTCTTCTCCAGGCTGAAGAACTGCAACCCTCTCAGTCATTCTTCATGGAAGAGGTGTTCCATTCCTCTGACTGTCTTCATGCCTCTCCTCTGGACTCAGTCCCACAGATCCATGTCTTTGCTGTGCTAAGGACTCCCAAGCTGAACACTAGTCCAGGTGGAGTCTTACCAGAGGGGACTAAAGAGACAGAATCACCTCCCTCAAGTGCTGCCTACGCTTCTTTTAATGCAGACCAGGATATCACAGAATCACAGAATCACGGAATCACCAAGGCTGGACAAGATCATCAAGTCCAGCCTATGACCAACACCACCACATTGGCTAGACCATGGCAGTAAGTGCCACTTCCAGCCTTTCCTTAACACATCCAGGGATGGTAACTCCACTACCCTGGGAAGTCCATTCCAATGTCTAATCACCATCTTCATGAGGAAGTACTTCCTAATATAAAACTTAAACGTCCCCTGGAGCAGCCTGAGGCCATGCCCTCCGGTTGTTGGTAGTAGCCTGGAAAAAGAGCCCAGCCCCCACCTGACTGCAATCTCCCTTCAGGTAGTTGAAGAGAGTGGTAAGTTCCCGCCTGAGTCTCCTCTTCTCCACGCTAAACAATCACTGCTCCTTCAGCCTATACCTATAAGATTTTCCCTCTAGTCCTTTCACCAGTCTCATTGCTCTCCTCTGGACTTGCTCCAACACCTCAATATCCTTCTTGAAGTGAGGGGCCCAGAACTGTATAGATGAGGCCTCACCAGTGCTGTGTACAGGGGGAGAATTACATCCCTGCTCCTACTGGCTACACTATTCCTGATACAAGCCAGGATGCCATTGCCCTTCCAGGCCACCTGGGCACACTGCTGGCTCATGTTCAACCGGTTGTCAACCAGTGCTCCCAGTTCCCTCTCTGCTGGGCCACTCTCCAGCCACTCTTCTTTCCCCAGACAGTAGTGTTGCCTGGGGTTATTGTAACCAAAGTGGAGGACCTTAACAGCTAATAAAGGGCAAGCATCGCTCCCAATTTCAAGAGAAATTCTGTAGGTCAGATCCTACAACTTCACCTTAGTCTTTGGGAACATTAAAATGTCACACCCATCAACAAATAGGACCAAAAAGAGGATCCAGAAAACTACAAACCCATTAGCCTTACTGCAGTCCTTGGTAAAGTAACAGAACAAGTCCTCTTAGAAACTATTACGAACAAATGAAGCAAGTGACTGGGAAAAGCCAGCATAAAAATGTCAAAGGCAAATCATGCCTGACTAATCAGATCACCTGCAGCAAAGTAACGCTTTCTATCCACTTGGGGAGAGCAGTGGATTTTTTTTACATGGGCTTCAACAAAGCATTCCACACTATTTTCCACCTTACTTTCTGCTAGGCAAACGTAAGATATAGGTAGTCACAGAATGACAAAATTGTTAAGAGTTGTAAGGGACCTCTAGAGATCATCTGGTCCAACTCCCCCACTGAAGCAGACCACCTAGAGCACATTACCCAGGAATACATCCAGATGGGTTTTGAATATCTCCAGAGATGGAGACTCCACAACCTCCCTGGGCATGCTGTTCCAGTGCCTTGTCACTCTCATTGTAAAGAATCCTTGCACCCACCCTTTAGATACTTGTATACATTGATAAGGTCTCCCCTCAGCCTTCTCATCTCCAGGTTAAAGAGTCCCAGCTCTTTCAGCCTATCATCATAAGGGAGATGCTCCAATGCCCCTATCATCTGTGTCACTCTATAATGTCATGTAGTCTCCCTTTCCCACAAAAAGTTGGACCAGATGATATTTCAGCATATGCTGTTCTGTGACTATGGAGCAAATCTTCATGGAAGATGCTTCCAGACACAGGGGGGGGAAAATAAAATAAATAAAAATAATAAATAAAAAAAATAAAAATAAAAAAAAAAAGTGATTTGCTATGGCCAGGGGAATTACTAATGACAACTCATGATTCCCCGGTGTGATGGTATGCTGTGAGAAAATAACTGGCCTTCTGGGACAGGAAAGCCAATTGGCTCTCATTTACCTTGACCTTGACAAGAGTTTTTTTACACTCTGCCACCACCGTTCTTATAGCCAAAGTGGTGAAGTACAAACCTGAAAGCTGAAAAGTGGAGTATTCCATACCACATGGTTCTGTGCTTAGCAATAGAAATTCAAGGAAAGGAGAAAGAAACAGGGACATTAGTGATTATGAGTTTTGTCTTCCCAAGAAACTGTTACACATGCTGATGTCATGTTTTCAAGAAGTTGTTAAACATCTGTCAATGGGAAGCACTGAATAAATATGTTGTGGTTTTATGTTTATGCATGCATCTTTTGCTTCATCTATTAATCTGCTGTTATCTAACCTATGAGTCTTTCCAATTTCTTTCAGTTTTCTCCTTGTCCCCTATGGGGAGGGGTGTGAGCAAGCAGCAGTGTGGGTGTATGGCTGTTGGTTAGGGTCAACACAAGGCCCACTTTTTGACACTCAGTGTTGGGCTCAAAGGGCTCCAAATAATTATAATCTTGACTGTAATGTGCTAAATTGCATTTATACTTACAGTTGCTCAGATTTTAATTGACAAGGTCCTGGGTTAGCCACAGCTTGCTTACTTTGGTGTGTATGTGTTCAGGGTTTGTTAGCGGCAGCTTTCAAGAGTACAAAACCAAGTTTATTAGTGCCATTTGAAATGTTCCATTATATTCTAGGTGGCTTCAAGCTGCCAGTTCAGACAGGTGTAGATTTCTTTTAAATCCTATGTCTAATTTTTCAGACCCTATATGTATTTCAGCTATCATATGGTATCTCAAATGGCCTAAGACAGCTTCATGAGGGAAGATGAAGGTATAAAGCCTGAATTTAATTCATATTTATTACACATTTTATTAAAATTGTCAATTTTTTTTTTTTTTTTTTTTTTCTCATGAAACTAATATTAAAATATCACAAGTCATGGTTTTGTATTTCAATTAAATACCATGTCCTGGATTCACTTCATCTAACTTCAGCTAGCTAAAAGTTAAGTGCTCAGGATGAACAAATCATCTAAGCTCTCTTTATGATCCATGAAAAGAAATAGGCATTTCCAGAGGCAGTTCATCTCCTTTTAAGATTAATATCATACACATAAGTGAATTGCTCTATGGAGGAGACTATTTCTGTTCACAAATGTTACAAAAATTCTAACAGACTACTTGCACTGGAAATCTTGTTTCTACATGCCAGAAGACAAGCAAGATGAATTACCACACATCTTCCACTTAACTGCTTAACCTCCTTTTTCTTTAGTTTGCCATTGGTAATATAGGCATACTTTGATTGATTTGCCTGTTACAGATCTTGAGGTGATTTGAAATTTGCATAAAGGAAAATGTTTGTGTTTTGGAAGGGGGGGTTTGGTGTGGATTGTTTTTTTCTTTCCTAAAGTTAGGAAAACATTTTTTTTAAAAACATGATTATTTTACTTTTTAAAAAGCAACCAAACAACAAACCCTCCGTGCCACCAACAAACCAACATGGCTAGCGTTGTCCAGAGAGGACAATATATTTTGCAATATATGTACAATCATTAGAAGCCCTCGTATCTAGTTGGTAGATAAAATACATGGTAGGAGTATTTCCAGTATTTAAAGAACGCGGTAACATACAAAAAACTTGATTAAATAGATCACACCTGAAATACTCATAACAAATATGTATAAAAACAAAATAAAAACAAGAAAAAAGGCAGAAAAGATGGAGGGGGTTTTTGCAACCTGTATATGGTTGTCTGCTTTCTGTCTATAACAATATTACATTTTGATGTCTGTAGTTTATATCAATAAACAGTGGTGGAAAAAGCAAGAGATGTTGAACAATCCATTCATGTCCTGAAATGAGTGACGTAGATACTAGTAAGATATAATTCAGAGATGTACTAGCCAATTATTATTTGTGGGTTTGTTGGTCCCAGTGAAGCCTTATGGAACCAGCAGTAATGGAAATGGCCTCCTGAGAATGTCTATAATTTTACACTGGAGTCTTATTGTTGATGACATTGTAATGAGTTAGTCTAATTGTTATGCCTACAAGAAAATCTAAAAAAGTCCTAATTTCACTGCCAATTATTTGCATAAAAGTTCTTAAACTTTAATAGGCTGGCTGCTACTTCAATAAAAGATTTTTCCTCGTTTTTGAACGTATGGTAGTTTAATATTTAAATACTCTGCTTTATAATTTGTTCATGTACTTTATCAAACCTTTACTTTTCAAATGTAATGTTTATGTTGCACACATACTAAAGAACCATCTTTGCTGATTTTTAATTCAATAGGACAATTTGTAATCAGACTTACATTCATACAAGTATTCATACATTAATTCAAACAAAAGTGAGATTATTTTCCATACTTTGTTTTAATTGGAAAAAGAATTTAACCTCTCATCTTTTAAATGCACAGTACCTCTTGGGAGGGAGAAGGAAGCTACTGTGACTGGAATGGTTTAGGCTTGATGTGGTTAATAACACTTTCTGTTTAGCTCAATCAATTTTATGTTAAACTCTGTCAATAGTTCAACTGATGCAAGCAACTTTATTTCTTGCAGTACTTTAAGAAGCCTGTTCTCTCTAGTGGTTTCACATGCTTTCCCTCACAAAAAATAAGAGTGTTAGCAGTTTAAAGTGATGTGAATTCGAGCAATCAGAAAAATATATTGGATGATGTGGATGCCGTTATGGAGAGTCAGTGAAGGATGAGGGTAATGAATCAATCTGATAGATTGTGACTGTCCCTTAAGAAGACAAGGTAAAGAAGTAAATCCAAATTGGTTAGGGAATGTTCACAGTACCAAATAATATTACATTGAGGCTGCCCCTGTACACTATTCTATAGAACTGATCTTACAGGCAGAATATCATCAGGAAAAACACAGTTAAAAATATAGATTAAAATGAAACATAAAAACACTTAAACAAACTAGAAAAAAACCCCATCCACAACTCTAAAAATAATTACCTCATGATAGCAGGGAACAGCAGCACACATCTTTCACTTGCATGAGTTTCATGTATATCCAAGTCATAAATCAATCCAGGAAAATTCAGATGTAGTTGAAGATGGCTAGGAAAAGAAGTCTGTGCTAAAGCTTTTGAATCACATTTGTAAGAAGGCTATAAAATGTGAGACACCCTGAATGTTGTAGCTAAGTAAGTGTCACTGACGAGATGGAAAACGGAATGTCCTCCAATGCACCCAAGTATAAGATATGACGCTTGGGTTAATCAGAGGAAGAAAAATGGAACTCCTAAGGGTCCAGGACTCTACAGAGTTAGACAATGTTTCCTAACTTAAAGAAGATTATATATTTTTATCCTCTTTTCTGGTCTAGGCTGTGCATTATTCTGACATCATTCATTCTCTTTACATCTTCCTTGCCTCCAATTCACTTTGAAGGAATTTAAATGAAGAATAATTGGGGGTTTTTTTGCACATTGGAAAATGTTATTATAAGGCTCAAATCACTGATAATCATTAACCATTGTAAGGTATAAGAAGCTTCTTTCTCTTCAGTATCTGTTTTGACTGCTACAGTTTGTAACAGCAATGGGGCTTGAATAAAATTCAGGAGCTCTTCCTTAGAAATACATAACATTATTTCACATCCCTGTCCAGTAAATATTGAAATTAACTATATTAAGTTATCCAAATGCACAATTAATACAAGGAAAGAAAAAGAGAAAAACGAGAGAGAGAAAAACGAGAGAGAGAAAAACGAGAGAGAGAAAAACGAGAGAGAGAAAAACGAGAGAGAGAAAAACGAGAGAGAGAAAAACGAGAGAGAGAAAAACGAAGAATAATGAAAGGAGAAGGAGAGAGAAGGGAAGGGAAGGGAAGGGAAGAGAAGAGTAGAGAAGAGTAGAGTAGAGAAGAGTAGAGAAGAGAAGAGTAGAGAAGAGAAGAGTAGAGAAGAGAAGAGTAGAGAAGAGAAGAGTAGAGAAGAGTAGAGAAGAGAAGAGAAGGATGATAGACTTGATTTAGTTGCCTAAACCTAAGAACGTAAGAACTTAGTGCTGTTTACATGTCACAGGTGTTCAGAGAAGAGAAGAGTAGAGAAGAGAAGAGTAGAGAAGAGAAGAGTAGAGAAGAGAAGAGTAGAGAAGAGAAGAGTAGAGAAGAGAAGAGTAGAGAAGAGAAGAGTAGAGAAGAGAAGAGTAGAGAAGAGAAGAGTAGAGAAGAGAAGAGTAGAGAAGAGAAGAGTAGAGAAGAGAAGAGTAGAGAAGAGAAGAGTAGAGAAGAGAAGAGTAGAGAAGAGAAGAGTAGAGAAGAGAAGAGTAGAGAAGAGAAGAGTAGAGAAGAGAAGAGTAGAGAAGAGAAGAGTAGAGAAGAGAAGAGTAGAGAAGAGAAGAGTAGAGAAGAGAAGAGTAGAGAAGAGAAGAGTAGAGAAGAGAAGAGTAGAGAAGAGAAGAGTAGAGAAGAGAAGAGTAGAGAAGAGAAGAGTAGAGAAGAGAAGAGTAGAGAAGAGAAGAGTAGAGAAGAGAAGAGTAGAGAAGAGAAGAGTAGAGAAGAGAAGAGTAGAGAAGAGAAGAGTAGAGAAGAGAAGAGTAGAGAAGAGAAGAGTAGAGAAGAGAAGAGTAGAGAAGAGAAGAGTAGAGAAGAGAAGAGTAGAGAAGAGAAGAGTAGAGAAGAGAAGAGTAGAGAAGAGAAGAGTAGAGAAGAGAAGAGTAGAGAAGAGAAGAGTAGAGAAGAGAAGAGTAGAGAAGAGAAGAGTAGAGAAGAGAAGAGTAGAGAAGAGAAGAGTAGAGAAGAGAAGAGTAGAGAAGAGAAGAGTAGAGAAGAGAAGAGTAGAGAAGAGAAGAGTAGAGAAGAGAAGAGTAGAGAAGAGAAGAGTAGAGAAGAGAAGAGTAGAGAAGAGAAGAGTAGAGAAGAGAAGAGTAGAGAAGAGAAGAGTAGAGAAGAGAAGAGTAGAGAAGAGAAGAGTAGAGAAGAGAAGAGTAGAGAAGAGAAGAGTAGAGAAGAGAAGAGTAGAGAAGAGAAGAGTAGAGAAGAGAAGAGTAGAGAAGAGAAGAGTAGAGAAGAGAAGAGTAGAGAAGAGAAGAGTAGAGAAGAGAAGAGTAGAGAAGAGAAGAGTAGAGAAGAGAAGAGTAGAGAAGAGAAGAGTAGAGAAGAGAAGAGTAGAGAAGAGAAGAGTAGAGAAGAGAAGAGTAGAGAAGAGAAGAGTAGAGAAGAGAAGAGTAGAGAAGAGAAGAGTAGAGAAGAGAAGAGTAGAGAAGAGAAGAGTAGAGAAGAGAAGAGTAGAGAAGAGAAGAGTAGAGAAGAGAAGAGTAGAGAAGAGAAGAGTAGAGAAGAGAAGAGTAGAGAAGAGAAGAGTAGAGAAGAGAAGAGTAGAGAAGAGAAGAGTAGAGAAGAGAAGAGTAGAGAAGAGAAGAGTAGAGAAGAGAAGAGTAGAGAAGAGAAGAGTAGAGAAGAGAAGAGTAGAGAAGAGAAGAGTAGAGAAGAGAAGAGTAGAGAAGAGAAGAGTAGAGAAGAGAAGAGTAGAGAAGAGAAGAGTAGAGAAGAGAAGAGTAGAGAAGAGAAGAGTAGAGAAGAGAAGAGTAGAGAAGAGAAGAGTAGAGAAGAGAAGAGTAGAGAAGAGAAGAGTAGAGAAGAGAAGAGTAGAGAAGAGAAGAGTAGAGAAGAGAAGAGTAGAGAAGAGAAGAGTAGAGAAGAGAAGAGTAGAGAAGAGAAGAGTAGAGAAGAGAAGAGTAGAGAAGAGAAGAGTAGAGAAGAGAAGAGTAGAGAAGAGAAGAGTAGAGAAGAGAAGAGTAGAGAAGAGAAGAGTAGAGAAGAGAAGAGTAGAGAAGAGAAGAGTAGAGAAGAGAAGAGTAGAGAAGAGAAGAGTAGAGAAGAGAAGAGTAGAGAAGAGAAGAGTAGAGAAGAGAAGAGTAGAGAAGAGAAGAGTAGAGAAGAGAAGAGTAGAGAAGAGAAGAGTAGAGAAGAGAAGAGTAGAGAAGAGAAGAGTAGAGAAGAGAAGAGTAGAGAAGAGAAGAGTAGAGAAGAGAAGAGTAGAGAAGAGAAGAGTAGAGAAGAGAAGAGTAGAGAAGAGAAGAGTAGAGAAGAGAAGAGTAGAGAAGAGAAGAGTAGAGAAGAGAAGAGTAGAGAAGAGAAGAGTAGAGAAGAGAAGAGTAGAGAAGAGAAGAGTAGAGAAGAGAAGAGTAGAGAAGAGAAGAGTAGAGAAGAGAAGAGTAGAGAAGAGAAGAGTAGAGAAGAGAAGAGTAGAGAAGAGAAGAGTAGAGAAGAGAAGAGTAGAGAAGAGAAGAGTAGAGAAGAGAAGAGTAGAGAAGAGAAGAGTAGAGAAGAGAAGAGTAGAGAAGAGAAGAGTAGAGAAGAGAAGAGTAGAGAAGAGAAGAGTAGAGAAGAGAAGAGTAGAGAAGAGAAGAGTAGAGAAGAGAAGAGTAGAGAAGAGAAGAGTAGAGAAGAGAAGAGTAGAGAAGAGAAGAGTAGAGAAGAGAAGAGTAGAGAAGAGAAGAGTAGAGAAGAGAAGAGTAGAGAAGAGAAGAGTAGAGAAGAGAAGAGTAGAGAAGAGAAGAGTAGAGAAGAGAAGAGTAGAGAAGAGAAGAGTAGAGAAGAGAAGAGTAGAGAAGAGAAGAGTAGAGAAGAGAAGAGTAGAGAAGAGAAGAGTAGAGAAGAGAAGAGTAGAGAAGAGAAGAGTAGAGAAGAGAAGAGTAGAGAAGAGAAGAGTAGAGAAGAGAAGAGTAGAGAAGAGAAGAGTAGAGAAGAGAAGAGTAGAGAAGAGAAGAGTAGAGAAGAGAAGAGTAGAGAAGAGAAGAGTAGAGAAGAGAAGAGTAGAGAAGAGAAGAGTAGAGAAGAGAAGAGTAGAGAAGAGAAGAGTAGAGAAGAGAAGAGTAGAGAAGAGAAGAGTAGAGAAGAGAAGAGTAGAGAAGAGAAGAGTAGAGAAGAGAAGAGTAGAGAAGAGAAGAGTAGAGAAGAGAAGAGTAGAGAAGAGAAGAGTAGAGAAGAGAAGAGTAGAGAAGAGAAGAGTAGAGAAGAGAAGAGTAGAGAAGAGAAGAGTAGAGAAGAGAAGAGTAGAGAAGAGAAGAGTAGAGAAGAGAAGAGTAGAGAAGAGAAGAGTAGAGAAGAGAAGAGTAGAGAAGAGAAGAGTAGAGAAGAGAAGAGTAGAGAAGAGAAGAGTAGAGAAGAGAAGAGTAGAGAAGAGAAGAGTAGAGAAGAGAAGAGTAGAGAAGAGAAGAGTAGAGAAGAGAAGAGTAGAGAAGAGAAGAGTAGAGAAGAGAAGAGTAGAGAAGAGAAGAGTAGAGAAGAGAAGAGTAGAGAAGAGAAGAGTAGAGAAGAGAAGAGTAGAGAAGAGAAGAGTAGAGAAGAGAAGAGTAGAGAAGAGAAGAGTAGAGAAGAGAAGAGTAGAGAAGAGAAGAGTAGAGAAGAGAAGAGTAGAGAAGAGAAGAGTAGAGAAGAGAAGAGTAGAGAAGAGAAGAGTAGAGAAGAGAAGAGTAGAGAAGAGAAGAGTAGAGAAGAGAAGAGTAGAGAAGAGAAGAGTAGAGAAGAGAAGAGTAGAGAAGAGAAGAGTAGAGAAGAGAAGAGTAGAGAAGAGAAGAGTAGAGAAGAGAAGAGTAGAGAAGAGAAGAGTAGAGAAGAGAAGAGTAGAGAAGAGAAGAGTAGAGAAGAGAAGAGTAGAGAAGAGAAGAGTAGAGAAGAGAAGAGTAGAGAAGAGAAGAGTAGAGAAGAGAAGAGTAGAGAAGAGAAGAGTAGAGAAGAGAAGAGTAGAGAAGAGAAGAGTAGAGAAGAGAAGAGTAGAGAAGAGAAGAGTAGAGAAGAGAAGAGTAGAGAAGAGAAGAGTAGAGAAGAGAAGAGTAGAGAAGAGAAGAGTAGAGAAGAGAAGAGTAGAGAAGAGAAGAGTAGAGAAGAGAAGAGTAGAGAAGAGAAGAGTAGAGAAGAGAAGAGTAGAGAAGAGAAGAGTAGAGAAGAGAAGAGTAGAGAAGAGAAGAGTAGAGAAGAGAAGAGTAGAGAAGAGAAGAGTAGAGAAGAGAAGAGTAGAGAAGAGAAGAGTAGAGAAGAGAAGAGTAGAGAAGAGAAGAGTAGAGAAGAGAAGAGTAGAGAAGAGAAGAGTAGAGAAGAGAAGAGTAGAGAAGAGAAGAGTAGAGAAGAGAAGAGTAGAGAAGAGAAGAGTAGAGAAGAGAAGAGTAGAGAAGAGAAGAGTAGAGAAGAGAAGAGTAGAGAAGAGAAGAGTAGAGAAGAGAAGAGTAGAGAAGAGAAGAGTAGAGAAGAGAAGAGTAGAGAAGAGAAGAGTAGAGAAGAGAAGAGTAGAGAAGAGAAGAGTAGAGAAGAGAAGAGTAGAGAAGAGAAGAGTAGAGAAGAGAAGAGTAGAGAAGAGAAGAGTAGAGAAGAGAAGAGTAGAGAAGAGAAGAGTAGAGTAGAGAAGAGAAGAGAAGAGAAGAGTAGAGAAGAGAAGAGTAGAGAAGAGAAGAGTAGAGAAGAGAAGAGTAGAGAAGAGAAGAGTAGAGAAGAGAAGAGTAGAGAAGAGTAGAGAAGAGGAGAGGAGGATGATAGACTTGATTTAGTTGCCTAAACCTAAGAACGTAAGAACTTAGTGCTGTTTACATGTCACAGGTGTTCAAGTTTTCTGTATGAGGAAGGCTGCTATAGCTATAGATTTACAGGGGACCCATGCATGACCTATCTAGAACATCAGCTGTCTGCTAGGCTACATAATTCTAAATGTTTGAAAAGGCATTAGGCAACTCTGGTAAAGCAAATGAATCTAGATAATTGACTAGAAATATACTGGATAGTTAGTCCCTTAAATCTAGATATCTAGATGTAGGATCTGTCTGTCAGCTAGATGTATTCATTCCATGTTAATGAATGGACATGAGAGTTTATTTGGTC